AGCGCCATACGAGCACATAAGGCAGAGTATAAATTAGTGTAATACCCCATGGATAATTTCTTGATATAGGATGAAGCCATTTTAATTGCCAATTCTGCTTGATAAACTGAAGTTCTTGGTTTTAAAGTAAACGTTTTGTAATCAATTTCAATACCGTGGAAAAATACAACGAAGGCACAGCCGACGCTCTTCGCAAACTCTGATCCATCTGTATGAATTTCAATTTCTCCAGTTGAAATATAGTCTTTATCGTAGGATATACCGTAACATTCACTAGAATGGCTTGAACTCAGATCATGTCTAAAATCCCTCGCTGGTATTTGCTTTATCTTCATACACTATTTTTCGTTTTATAATTTCAGACAAAATTGTCATAGTAAATTAAATTGTAGTGAGAGAGGCGCTACACCAGCCAGTAAACACGCACTTCTGCCGGGACTGCTCTAAATGATCTTGTAATGCAAGTGCCAGGCCCCTGCAATGAGTCTAATTTATGCCTTGTTTGACCAGCTCTGCTCGTCACCCCATGCGCCAACCATAAAGAATTTCTTCAAAACATTTTGTAAATATCCCTCAGGGTAGAGCTTTTCTCAGAAAGAGTGATCGGAGTAGTAAAAGTATTTTAAATAATTTAATTTTTTCTATCTTTCATTGTATTGACTTAAAATGCTCTATAAAATTCAAATTCTCACGATAATACACCCAGGTATTTAAAAGTATTCACAAATGCAATTCTTTTGATCATATCATCTGGGGGTTGGCATTCTCCACCGAGGAAAAACATACATGTTTTTAATATTAAATTCTATATTTTGCTCAGTACTCCATTTCATAAAAACATTTTCAAACAAGTTAAAAGTAGCCTCTATTTTTCCGAGGGAGTCTCCTGTAATAGTTATCATAATGTCATCGGCATAACAGGTAATATTCGTATCAGGTACATTTTCTTGCTGTAATTTATTTGCTATGAAGCTCCAGAACAGGGGAGCACTACATGAGCCCTGGGGACAGACTTTTCCAATTTTATAATAAAGATTAATTGTATTAGAGTTGCCCAGAAAAATTAATTCTCTATTCCCCAGATAACTTTTAATTCTATCAAATAGGTCTCTTGAGATGTCAATTTCTTTTAATATAGACAGTAGGGAGTACCAGCTAATAGAGTCAAATGCCCCTCGGACATCAAGGGAAACCAGGACCATATTTTTACTTTGTCGCTTTTCTCTCACTTGTTGGATCACATTGTATAATGCTAGATTAGTAGACATATTCTTTCGAAAGCCGTATTGACTCGAACTGATAATATTATTTTTCGTTAAAAAATGCTCATGTCTTTTTGTGATGAGTTTATCTAAAATTTTCGCATCAGTCATTTCAGCTACCCATACAAGTAGTTGAAATGACTGATTAACAACAATAATAGTACTAGCTATGTATGCAATTATTACAACGCCTTCACGTCAGCATAAGTACGGCGCGGAGCCACACACTTTGCATGTTCATGTCTATCTCTAATTCTGTGTCATTTCAGTGTATTACAATAGAAATTTGGAAGTTTCCAGACCCATTTTTATGGAAAAATCTGATATTCACAGAAAGTCTCATAAAATTCACGCAAATTATGTCGAAACTCCACTCTGTTGAAAATTTACTGCCTTATTATTAGCTAATAAACATAGCTGAATAACAGAATGGAATGTCATAGAGGAATAATCATAATTTATTACTAAAATATTACGTTAGCAATAACTTGTAGAGTTTGACCTTCTTTGGCAGCATAAACTGTTATCAACAAGTTTGATCCTAACAGATCCTAACAGATTTGGAGCGAATAATCGTTGTCCCTGAAGTAACAACAAAGTCTTCAAATGGTTTGAAATAGTCTTTCTATTAAAACATAACCTTGAACATAAACGAAGTTACTTTGCTCGACAATACCAAACACCACTTGTGGGGATGTAACTTAAGAAAGAGTCAAATTCAATTTTAAAATTAAGCCTAGCAGTCAAAAACTAAATAATTGATTATAAATTCGAAGTTGACTCAGAACTCCTTACTAGAGTAAAGATTATCTATTGATAGCAGAAACGAATACTAACACGTATCTAGTACACATGAAATTTACCAAGGCTGATCGAGTTAATCACTCGTAGAAGCATTAGGTTAATTGGAAGCGGGGAAGATGAATGAAAAATGAGCAATCGCCTTCGCCGGGAATCGAACCACGGACCTCTGGAATACCGGCCCAGCGTGCATAACCACTACATTACGAAGGCACGCTAGGAAGGCGGGAGAAATACTTTACATACTCTCCCTTCTAAAGGGCAACTGGGGTTTTTAGGGGACCAAAACGGCAAATCCTGGGTGAGGAGAATCATCATGCCACACCGTTTTAGTTCGGGCGCCACTGTAGAGACATTAGGTTAATTGGAAGCAGGCAAGAGGAAAAATGAGTAATCGCCTTCGCCAGGAATCGAACCACGGACTTCTGGAATAGCTGCCAGTATTCTTACATTTCCTCACTTATATTAATTAGCAATAATAAAAGAAGACGTTGTCTTTCTTGATGCGAAGCTTAGTTGATCTAGATTGGCAACAAATCCACTATTCTGCGAAGTTTCAAATATAAAGAAATATGGCTGCTATGGTAAACAAAATCAGGCTTGGGCCTCTCTTAAACAAATTTTAAATTGTTGATAATTCTACCAATATTGCGCGAAGTTAACTAAAGGCATAAAAACCTTAACCGGAAGATAAGAACAACATAATTCAACAATTTTTTTAGGCAAAAAAGGTGCAATTTACCAACATATAAGAATAAAAAACTTAGCTCAATTAGCTGAGTAACAGAATGGGTATATATATATATATATATATATGGTGGCAATCGGCCGCACCAAAAGTATATATATATATATTTTAGTGCGGTCGATTGACACCAAAAAGGTGGATGCACAACTACATGCTATATCAGTACTATATACAAAATTACAACGTTCTGAGCCTATTCGTTTTTGAGTTAAGATACATACATACGTATGTATGTACGTACAGACGCCAAGAAAAAATCTCTTCTGAATCCATTTTAAATATTTTTTATAATTCGTTTGAAGTCCTTTATTCTGTCCTTACGTACAGATATCACGCAAAAACATCGTTAAATTGCATTCACTAGCCTTCGAAATGGGTCATTTCGTTGAAATATGGTACCCGGAATTTTGCGAGACTACAATAATTCCTTTACTTCGTACAAGGAAATAAAAAGTAAAATATGTGGAATTTTTTTTTTTTTTTTTCTTTTTTTTTTACCCATGTTAAAATGTACCTTAAATTGACATTTGTAAACAAAAGTACAGGAGATTTGTTTTTTTAGTAACCTTAACTCTTTGACTACTAACGGGATATCTATGTCCTAGTAAAAGTTTAAAAGTTACTGCTCGGTTAAAAAGTGCTCAGAATCTCCTGAATGTTGGAGATCATCTTCTAATAGTTGGAAAATCAAGAAGCCGCTATGCTCGTTGTACACAAATTAACATAGAGAAAGGAACAAATATGAGTTGCTCAATGCGTAATATAGGGTTATGCAAAGAATGCTTTACGCCGTACCATACGACGTAAAATCTATTTCATATAATAAAGTTTTTCAGAATAATAGGTGGGCTTACAGCAGAGGCGTAGCTAGGGTTATCAGCGCCCGGAGACAAGTGAAGATTTCGCGCCCCCCCCCCCCCCATTGCCAAAGATCTGCAGTGGGGAACGAAAAGAAAACTTTAAAAATAATAACATTTTAATTGTTTAAAATAATAATAATAATTTGCTAAAATATGAAATATTTCTAATTTTAAATAGTTTAAATTATTAAATATTTTAATTTTTAAAGTACTTTTAAGCGTATATTTTAAAAGTTTCTCTAAAGTCACCAACTTAGAACATAGTAAAATAATTAAGACAATAATGATAGTTCGAAAATATGATTATTCTAAAATATTATTCAAATATAAATTCCGAAAACTTAAACATCTTATTGGATATAAAATATAATAACTTGAAAATGTATAATGACAGTTTCATGTATAATGCTTGAAACGTAATCACTAATTTCAAAGTGAAATTTTCCTAGCTTTAGCTGCTGCAAATTTATCGATTAGTTCATCAAAATTTATACTCTGGGCAACCTGCTGCTCCACAGTGAGCAAAGCTAAGGTAGATAATCTTTCCTGTACCATAGATAATCTCAGGTAGGGCAAGATAAGTTTTAGTTTACTGAAAGATCTTTCACAGCTGGCGATGGAGGTTCCAATAGTCAGTAAAATCTGAAGACCAACTCTTAGATTGGGAAATACATCTTCTCCGTACTGTACAATAAAGCGAAGCAGGTCCTCTGGCGTCGAAAGCTTAACATCAGCTCTTGTCTTGAGTAGCATTCGGCAGTCCATTATTTCAGTCTACATCTCCAAACCATCCAAGTCTGTATCTCTGTATCGTAAACGTTTTCCATAGAAATGCAGCACTGTTTCAAGCTACTTTCGTTGCCTGTAGCCATTAGTCCGTTTATATCTAAAAGAAAGCCAAAATTAGAGTCTACTTTCTTTAAGCTGATGAATCTGTCTGCCATTTCTATGTGTATTTTGTCTAGCATACTTTTCATCAATCGCGGCATTTCAATTTCTGCTGTGAGTCCTACATCTTCTGCAATTTCTCCAGGCATTTTCTTCTTCTTTCTCTGTCGTTTTTCAGCTTGGATATCACAAGCATTGCACAGTTCCTTGGCGTCTCCAAGAGATTTCATGCATATCTCATCTCTGTTTTGTAGAAGATAGTCTTGTAAAGCTTGAATATCCTCGAGCAGCATTGTGGAAATTCATAGTGGGGTCTTGAAGCCTCTTCTGAACCCTGTCAATCCCGGCAAGTACTGTATTCCAGAATCGAAGAACAACAAAAAACTCAAAAGTTAAGATCCGATGCAACAATTGAATTGCATCATTTCTTGTATCTGCATTTTAATCATGATCCTCTGCAATATTTTCAAATAATTCTACTAAGGTTTCGAGTTGATCATGTACCAGTTTAACAGCTTCTACTCTGGCACTCCAACGAGTTTCTGACTTCGACTTCAACGATACACCTAGAGCAGTTTTCAGTCTTTTCCATCGAAGAGTTGATCTTGAAAAATAGACACAGATAGCTTGTATGGTACTAAAAAACGTCAAAGAAGCTACCTCATTATTAGCAGCATGAACCCCAACTAAATTAAGTGTGTGATTATCACAGTTAACAAATATAGCTTTTAGGTTAAGTGTTGTGAGTCTTTGTTGCACTCCTGATTTGTAACCGGACATTACAGGCGCATTGTCATAACACTGTGATCGAAAGTCTTTGAAAGCTAATTTGTCTTTTTGTTGTTGTAATATTATACCTGCTATACTTGCTGCATCTTTTTTATGAGTTTGAATGAATCCTAGGAAACACTCTTTTATAACAACAGTTTTCTCCTCAAAGTCAATATCTACATATCTAATAGTTTCGGACATTTGCTCTTGATTAGCAGCGTCAGGAGTTGAATCAAACAGTATACCATAGTATTTGGCAAGTTGGATATCCACACAAGTTTTTCTCTAACTGCAGCTGCTAGAAACTGGATAAATTCATTTTGAATTTCTGGCGAAAGGTATGTAGTTGATCCTGGATTTTGTTGCACATACGAAAGGTGGCAATTCATAATTGGATCAAATTCTGCGATGAGCTTCAGAAGTTCTATTAAATTTCCAGCGTTTCGTTGACTCTCAGTGATACTTTCTCTGTAGCCTCTTAGGGCCAAATTTTGTTTGGCTAAATACTGAATGCAACACAACACCCTCTTAAGTATTTGTCGCCATTTTTCTTTCTCTGTAGCAATTTGATTTTGAAGCTGGGCATCTATTAAACCTTCTTTTTTTATCAGCCTCCTTTCCATTTCTTTCCAGGTTGTGAAAGAATTTCGGTGCCTTTGAGAATTCTCATGTGCAGTAATGTTTTCTGGTTACATCCAACTATTAAAACCACTTTCAGTTTCTGAAGAAGAACAGCTATTGTCTGCATCTTTTGATGGAAAACGTAGACACGGGAAACAGAATACTGCTCTTATTAAAGGAGAGTACACCCACCAAGATCTATTCACCATACCTCTTTTTCCTTTTCCTAACTGTTTGATAAACCATGCTGAGGTCATCGATCTGTTATTTTTTATGCAAAAGGCCCAATATTATTCTGAAAATAAATTGACCCTTTCTGCACTATTTCTATACGAAAGGCATCTGGTACGATTGCTTTTCCTGTTGCCTGGTCAAAATTCAGATATCGAAAGTCACGATGGTAAATCACATCAGCTAGCGTTTCAATACCTTTCGGCTTGTCTTGTTCAGTTGGATCAGGTGAATCCTCGTCCTAATTTTCTTCCGAATTTGACGAATATTTGCATTACTTTTTATTCAAGTCTATTTCACTTCTGTGCCTCTCTTCTAAGTTTTCTTGCTCAAATATTTTAATACAGGGAGATGATGTATGTATCTCTACATCTTTTTCCTATTTTAATGTGAATGATTCCGAATCTTTATTACTTTTCAAAAATTCTGTCAGAATTTTGCTTGAATTCACACATTCTTCATTTTGAGCTTTCCTTCGTTTTCTTCCTTCTGCTCCACTTAATTTTTTCTGTTGTACTCGTTTCATTTAAATGAGTATCTGTAAAATATTGAAATATACATAAATTCGATTTCAATATCGTTTTGATTGGCAAAATAATAAAGCTCTAAAATAGTTATAGGCGGAAGACTTATGTAAGTTATTTTCGTCCAAGCGTTACAGCATTAGCAAATGAGAAAAATATAATTTTGGAAAATACAAGTCATAATGCTAAAGAACTTCTGAGCCAGATTATTTGCCACAAATTATTATTGCTCTTGTAATATACCAGAGAATTTAGCTATTCTTTTCAATAGAAGAATGTTTCTTGCTGTCCAAGCATTTACAGAAATTTCAAACAGTATACTGACTTTTAGAAAATTAGTTGCACTTGTCATAAATTATCTTTGATGAAGATTTACTTCGTCTAGTTTTGATGAAAGGCTGGAAAACAAAATTTCCTTTCTGTTCTCGACTGTACAATAAACGGAAAAGAGAGCATGATGAACAGTATGCACCATACTTTAACTGTAAACCATCAAAGCCACTCATGTTAGAAACTCAATTTTTTTTTCATCCAGACATTTTTGTTTTTGGAAATACATAAAAGTATGGAGGCTGAAAATGATTTGTGAAGAATGCGAATTAGGTGTTTTCGCTAATAAATGGTAGTTTGTTTTGAAGGAATATAGTGCTGATGTCCAAAGCAGGTGAAAGAACAGAAAGAAGAGAGAATTTCTGTTGAGAATTGGAATGTTATGACGAAAATGAAGTAGAATTGGAATTGTTCTCTAGAATTTTCTCGGTTTATCTTTTATCTACACATATGAGAAGCGACTTCATCTTATAAATTTCACATTTTATTTACAAAGGATGCAGAAAATTCTACACAAGCGTACCCTTCCTTCATATAAAATTTTACTGAAGTATTTTAAGTAATTTTAAGTACATTTTCCAGCATGAAAGTTATTCATGCTGGAAACAATATTTTACTATCGCTATTTCATGCGGTGATTTTCGTTAAAATTGATAACAGTTTTTATGGAGAAACTATAATTATTTCTGAAAAAAAAACTTTGTTCGAACACTTAAATTATGAACAAAATAAATGGATAAAATTAAAATATAATAACGTATTTGGTGCGACTTTTATGAATATTTGTGAAAGAAAGATAACTTTTATAATAATTTATCTTACTTTTTGAAACTGAGAAGTACGATTTTGCGTTAAAAAGCGCATTCATTTGCGTAGCTCTAAAAGTGAAACTTAAGTTGCTCAGAGATGATTATTCCAACAAAGTTCATGCTTTGCTCCCGAGAAAAGTTAACCTGAAACCCCATGTACCAGCACTACATACCAGCCATGTAAATACATCCTAATGAAGATATTTAGCAAAAAAGCTTCAGTTATTAATTATTTGTTTAAATGTAACGAAGCACACAAGGGCTATGAAGGCTTTCTAAGAGAACTATCTAATACGTACGTTACACATTGTGGAAATTTAAAACATTAATGCAAGCAGCTTACTTGTCTTGATTCGAACCACGTTGAATAAAAGTATTCAACGCTCTTATTTATTTGCCCACTGCTAGGCTTTTTATGCTATTAAAAATCATTGAAAATTCTATTTATAAATAAAAGCAATACATAAATAA